GTCACTTCTCCGGAGTCTCCTCTGCTCTGTGACAGGTTCCCAGACTGTCTTTGTTTTCCATGACCTTGACAATTACGAGGAGTACTGGTCAGATATTTTGTAGACTATCCCTCAATCCAGTTTGCCTGATGTTTTTCTAAGGGTGAGATGGGAGTTTTTAAGAAGACCAGCCCTGGCTGGCGTAGCTCAGTGGATTGAGCATGAACCTGTGAACCAAAGGATCAAGGTTCAATTTCCAGTCAGGGCACATGCCTGGGTTGTGGGCTGGGCCCCCGGTTGGGGGTTGTGCAAGAGGCAATGAATTGATGTTTCCCTTAGACATCAATGTTTCTCTCCCTCTCTTTCTCCCTCCCTTCCCCTCTTTCTGAAAATAAATAAATAAAATCTTTGAAAGTGGTGCCCTTCTGGTCACATCACCTCAGGGGTACCTGCCATCCATCAACATGACTTAGCACTGTCACGTGAGCCTGCGTCACCTGGCTAAGGTGGTGGTTACAGCTTCCCTGCCGGGGAGGCACTTTCTCTGCGGCTGTGCCCAGTTCTCTGGGAGCAAGTCGCTCGTGCAGCCCGCGGCCGGGGAAGAGCGTAGGGGCAGGGAGCGGCTACATAAATCACTCGGTGTTCTCTTGTAAGGAAGATTTGTTTCTGCTCCCACACTTATTTATGAGATGATTTATATTAGTTTGGAGCCATATTTATTTTATAATTCTGGTTTAAGGCAAAACCACATTCCTTTTTTCTTACACGGTTTCAGCTTTGGCCACTGGGAGCTCTTTCAGGTGGATCCCGTTCCCCTCTGACACGCCACTATCCCTGTGTTCCTTAGGCAACTTCCTTCCTCTCTGGCACTCACTCCAAGACGCTCCAGGCTCATCTCGTATTGTCCTCCCCCAACCCTGGAATCAGCAGTTTTTCTCCAAGGAGTCTGCTTCCTTTATCGGTGAGCAGCATTCGAAACCAAGATCTGGGTACTAGGTGTCCTTGTCACCCCCGGGGTGGCACATCTTGGCTCTCTCAGCTGCTGTACCAGAAAATGCCTGTGTGCACACTCACCCAAGTATACAGAAATACCTCTCTATGATGTTTTATGATTTGCATATAAAAGTGAGATGTTCCCCTGGCTCAATGGATTGAGTGCCAGTCGGTGAACTGAAAGGCTGCTACTTTTTTTTTTTAATATTTTTTTAAAATATTTTATTTATTTATTTTTCAAGAGAGGGGAAGGGAAGGAGAAAGAGTGGGAGAGAAATATCAATGTATGGTTGCCTCTTATGCATCCCTTGCTGGGAACTGGCCTGCAACCCAGGCATGTGCCCTGACTGGGAATCGAACCACAATAATCTGGTTCACAGGCCTGCACTCAATCCACTGAGCTATGCCAGCCAGGGCTAAAAAAAAAAATATTTTATTTAATTATATTTAGAGAGGAAGGGAAGGAGAGAGAGAAATATCAATGTATGGTTGCCTCTCCTGCGTCCCCTGCTGGGAACTGGCCTGTGCCCTGACTGGGAATCAAACCACAATCCTCTGGTTTGCAGGCCTGCGCTCAATCCACTGAGCTACACCAGCCAGGGCTGAAAGGTTGCTACTTCTATTAGCAGTCAGGGCACTTGCCTGGTTTGCAGGCCAGGTCCCCAGCTGGGGATATGTGAGAGGCAACCAATCGATCCATGTGTCTCCCATACATCGATATTTCTCTTCCTTTCTTTCTCCCTCAGTTTCCCTCTTTCTAAAAATAAAATCTTAAATTAAAAAATTGTTTTATATGCACAAATTCCATCCCCTCCAGCCTTGCTAAACTGGTGTCTCTCTCTCTCTTCGTGTCATCTCATTCCATCCCACAACGATGCTGTGAAGGTAAGACCAATTCGATCCCTTTAAAGGGAAGGGACAGAGGCTTGGAGAGTTTAAGTAACACCCAGATACATCCCGGGAGAGGCTCTCACTTCTGAGGCCGGAAAGCCCTGACTGCATCGCCTCCTTGTGTCCCAATGGCTGTGGACTCTGCTGGCTTTGGGGGGCTGACCAGTTATACTCGATGGGCAGCGGCACTGCGGTGGTGACCAAGGACCCACTATAGGCCAGGCATCCATGTGGTCAGGGTAATCCCCACTCAGGGCCTGGGACAAGAGGTGTGGAGCTGTAATTCATGGTCAGGATAGACCACGATTAATGGCCAGCGAGTGGCCTAGATGGCTGGGCCAGAGGAGTCCAGAGCAAATGCCACTGGAAGCTGGTTGCAATCCAAGGAAGGGAATTAGGCCAGTTAGGAAGAAGCTGTGTGGCAAAGGCTGGGACTTGGGGTGGTGGGCACCCAGCTGGCTGGCTTTAGGTGGCTTTTAGCAATGAACCTGGGGACGCAAAATCCCCACACAGTGCGTGTCCCTGGCTAGGCCCTCTCAACCGCCCCTCCGCCCACCCCACTTTCTGTGACTAATCCTCTAGGGCTCAGCTCAGGTGTGTCGCCAGGTCCTTCCTGGACCCCCATCCTTGGGCGGGCTGGTGCACCCTGGGGCCCGTCAGGACCCTGGGCCTGAGCCAGCCCAGTGCTCCTGTTTCTACCTGTCTGTGCCTGGCTGTCTCCCTCGGCAGCCACGGAGGGTGGGCCTGGTGCCCAGCGTTCAGTCCTGGTGCTGAGGGAGCACATGCATGGGTGCTTGGTGGGTGCTGCCTGGAGCACTGCAGGGGAGGCACAGGAGAGGTGCGGCAGCAGCCAGCAGCCCGGCTGCCTCTCCTTAGGGAAGGGGGGAGGGGTCGATGAGAGAAAATCCAAAACTTACATCGAGGGCAGACAGGCAGCCCAAGGTGTCTGGCTAAGCCGGGCAACAGCTGCTCACTCCTGTCACTGCTTAGCTCAGCCCCCCTGCTGACGGGATCTTCCTCAAAGTCCCTCCCCACAGGGCCACAAATGTCCTGCTCCTGAAGCCCCGCTAGCCCCTGGGCCCAGATGAAGTTGGGCTCCTCAGGAAGTCAGGCTCGGTGGCCCCGGGTCCTGGGTTCCGGTGTCCGTGCTGCCACTCTCCTTCTGGACAATGTTGGGCAAATCATGGCATCCCTCTGAGCCTCAATGAGCACGCACCTATGGGCCAGGGCTTGGCGCACCACTGGTCCTTCAGAAACAGCAGCTGCTGCCAGCGATGCTGATGGAAGGGTTTCCTAAGGCATGTGTAACCCCTGCCGCGTCTATGGGGCTTTGTGGGAACTTCAGGATGTGCCCTGTTCTGAGTGCACTCCATCATTCCAAAACCACACACTGAGAAACCACACTGGGACCTGGAGAAGCCCCCCCTCCCCAGCAGCCCCGGTGACTGCTCCTGCAGAAGCCCTGCCCGAGAAGACACTCTGTTGGAAAGTGCAGCTGGCTCCCAAGGGTGGGCAGGAGCAAGAAGAGAGGGTGCCCCAGGCTGGGGAGAGGGCCCCACTGAGGGCCTTAAGGAAGACTAGTCTGATGAGAGTGAGCCCCACACCCTGCTGAGCACCCAAAGGGAAGGGAGCCTTAGTCCATTTATTCCCTGCCTTGTTCCCCAAAGGTGATGAGGTGGTTCACAAAACCCAGTAGCCTGGAAAGTTCCAGAGTGAGAAGCGAAAATAGTGGCAGGAAAGGAAGACAAAGCCAGGAGTCGCCACTCACTGGGCCCGAAGACCGGGAACAACTGCCAAAGGTAGTCACAAATCTGACTCTGAGCTCCCTACTGGCCGAGGAGAAAAGGGAAAGCAGGCTCAGGTCCCTGATCCAACGTGGGAGAGTATAAGCTCACCCCACACCCTGAAGAAACCCCCTCCGGTTGCCATCATCTGCTCCCTGTAGGCTGCGCCCCTCCCCACCTCAGGGTTTAGCTCCCGGTCCTGCCTCCACCACCACCACTCCCCTGCCGCCCCAGCTGAGGTGGCCATGTTTGTGTGCTTACAGTTCCTAGATCCCATGTACTCTGGAACCTTCTCTCCTGAAATAGGACTCCCCCCCCCCCTTCTTTTAAAAACCCATCTCAGCATCGTGGCTCGCAGTGAGCGAAACCCTCAGCCAGTGCAGAAACAGGGGAGTGTGCCTTCCACCCAGTACCTACCCCCGGGCGGAGAAGCGGGAGCCCCTCTGCAGGGAGGAGGCAGGCGGAGAGGGCACCTGGGCGAGCCCAGACTTGCCAAGCCTGACGGGGAAGGAGCTTCCATCGGCTCTGGGGAGGGAGGATTTGAGCTTTGAGGGAGCTACAGGTGGAGACTCGGGCAGAAAATTTGGCTTTAGTAGTGGCCGAGGTGGTGGCAACCAATTTCTAAATCTTTCAGCCTTGCTTGTTTGGGCAGGGATTTGCGACGGAGCTGATGCGCGACCTGGTGCGTGCTGGGCTCAGCACCCGCTGTCCCGCCCTCCCTTGGTGATTGCCGTTTGACATATTCTGCAGCGCTGACCATTTACTTCTGTGGGCAGAGGAAGGTGGGAGGGCTCCTCAGAGGAGACCACCTGGCTGCTAGTCAAGGGTCACCCACTGCCCCTCAACTTTGGAGAGTGCTCTTAATCAGATGGAGATTCCAGGCTGAGGCTGCAGATTCAGGGATCACCTACCTAACAGCTTAGCAAGGGGCCCAGCCCTATAGTAGGTTCTCAAGAAATGATGTCTGCTTTTGATGGATGCGGAGCAGAGAGCCAGCGCAGTGCGGAGACTCGCCCAAGGTCACACGGCGGGAGCCATGTCCGACCCGGGGCGGCCCGAGTCCGGCGGGCCGGGGTTTGTCTGAAACCAGCTTCGGGGAGCGGTGTAAGGAGGAGCGGACGCGGACGTGGGCGAGAAGGGCTTCTATTTTTGAGCGGATGAGAGAAGCGCGGTGCGCGGAGGGGCTGGGTCCCTCCCCGGGCTCCCAGCGCCCCAGTCACCTTCCCGCGACCCTTCCCGGGAGGGGCGTCCCGAGCGGGTAGGGGGAGGTGGGAGGGGCAGCAGGCGGTTACCTCATCGCCTCGCTCGCGCCGCCGGCTGGGGCGGCGACTCCAGGCGCCCGATCCGGAGAAGGACGGAGGGATCGCAGCGCCGAGAGGCAGCACCGGCCCCAGCGCTCCGCTCCACTGCGGGACCCTCGCGGCGAGGAGGTGGGATCTCAGTGCTGCCCGCTGCGCCTCCAGTCGCGCTGCGGGGCGGGGGCCGTGTCTGCGCGTCGGGTCTCTTGTCTCCGAGCTTCGGTACCCGCTGGAGCCGCTCGTGCGCCCGTCGTCGGCCTGCTCCGCTGTCTGTCTGACCTCCCGCCGCCAGCTCAGTCCTCTGGCCTGATCTCTCCGGCCCCGGCTGCTCCAGCGGGCGATGAGCTCAATGGGACCGGGGCACACCGGGCAGGGCGCGCGGGGCGCACGGAGCGGCGCCGGCCCATGAGGCTTCCCAGAGCAGGGCGCGGCAGCGCGCGCCGGCCATGGGGGGCAGCCTGCGGGTGGCCGTACTGGGAGCCCCGGGAGTGGGTAAGACGGCCATCATCCGCCAGTTCCTGTTCGGCGACTACCCCGAGCGCCACCAGCCCACGGATGGGCCGCGCCTCTACCGGCCCGCGGTGCTGCTCGACGGCGCTGTCTACGACCTGAGCATCCGCGACGGTGATGGCGCTGGACCCGGTCAGAGCCCCCGGGGTCTAGAGGTAGCGGCTCGAGGGTCGAAGAGGGGTGTGTCAATGTGCGTGTGTGGGTGGGGTGGGGGTCGGCATATACCAGCGTGTCCGCGTGGGCAGCCCCATGATGCCCAACTGCGTGCACAGACTGAAGGATGAATACGTGTCCTGGTGTTTGTGTGTCTCTCCCTTCTTGCTGGCCTGGAGGTGCACAAGACCAGGCCCAAGGCTGGGCGATTTTGCAAAGTGGTTCTTTCTCGTATAAGTGCCTCTGTATTTGCCTGCCTCCGCTGGTGGGTCAGGATTAGTGCGTGGTGGAGCGTAGTCGGGCCTCCCCCAGGGGTGAGCATTGTGAATTTGGGGCCTTGAACAGAGCCGCAGTGGGAAAGTTGGGGCCAGACACAGGGGTGTAGTTTCTTGGGGGTGAGGATGTTATTCTCTGCTCCCTCATTTCTGTGACCTGGAGCAAAGGCTCGTGCAGGAATTCGTGTAAAGTCCAGGACAGACACTGAATCCTTGGAACTGGGTGCCTGGGAGAGGTGGAGGGGCAAAAGCAGGCAGGACTGAGCAGGGTTTCCAGGAGGGGCGGCATTTGGGCAGACCCTGAAGTTTTGACTAAAAGTGGCAAAAACATCCCAGGTGGAAATAAAATAATGTGTTTAGACCTGGAGACCTAAACGTTTACAGCTGCCCACAATAGGCCCCGTGCTTTGGAATTAGTTTTAGGGGCGGTAGGAACCGCCCAGATCGTGCGGGGAGGAGGGGCCTGATCCAGTTGAAAGCTGGGAAGAGGGGGAAACTAGAGGGCAGAGAGGAGGCCGAGAGTGAAGTAGGGCTGGTGGTTGACCGACTTCAGGCACGGTTTGGACATTTTTACCCTGGTGTCCGTGGGAATTCGGGGGGGACAGGGCTCACAGAGGAGGATGGGGACCACCGAGGTCTGAGAATGAACTGTGGGTTTAGCGTCAACGCCCCTGCAGAAGGTCGCGGCGCAGGAGAGTGGGGAAAGGGCGCCGGCAAACCCCAGCCTCCCGCCCCCAGGAGTGGCCAGATCCTAAAGACTGGAGCCTGCAGGACACGGACGCCTTCGTGCTCGTCTATGACATCTGCAGCCCAGACAGCTTCGACTACGTGAAGGCGCTGCGGCAGCGAATTGCAGAGACCAGGTGAGGTTGAGAGGATGCAGCTGGGTTGAGGGGTGGTGAGGAGGAGGGGGGCTTTTTGTCAGTTTGGTCAGGCCTTTGCCTGAAGGGAGTGAGTGGGTTCTTTCGCCATTGCGGGCCTGGTCTCAGGCTTGCTGGGCCAGGCCTTTGTCTGTGGGAAGGTCTTTGGCCCACACAGGGCCTGGTGTTTGCTTGGGGGTGTCTGGCCGCAGGAGAAGATGCTCTTGTGTGTATAAGCCCACTAGGGGAATTACTTCAGGGTCCTTAGCACCATAGCCCTTATTCCCATCTGGCCCCCAGGCCGGCAGGCGCGCCTGAGGCACCCATCCTCGTGGTAGGCAACAAGCGGGATCGGCAACGGCAGCGCTTTGGGCCTCGGCGCGCACTGGCTGCCCTGGTTCGCAGGGGCTGGCGCTGTGGCTACCTCGAGTGCTCAGCTAAGTACAATTGGCACGTGCTGCGTCTCTTCCGCGAGCTGCTACGCTGCGCTCTGGTGCGCGCGCGGCCTGCACACCCAGCCCTCCGCCTACAGGGGGCGTTGCATCCCGCACGCTGCAGCCTCATGTGACAAAAGTGGACCATGACTCTGATTGGGAACGGGCATTTTGACTGGAACAACAGGGGACCTGGACTGGACGGATTTGTCAACTATTTTCGGATTGGACAGGACAACCTCTTCCCTGATTGGATGAGGAAAGCTCCCACCCTGTCTCCTGGAGGACAACAGGCCTCTCTTTGAATCTCATTGGACCCAGCCAAGGCCCCATTAGGACAAGATCAGCCTTTTCTGGGATATGATCTCATTGGATGGAATGAACTTGACTATGAATCTGATTGGAAGCCCCCAGACTGCTCCTGGAGCCCTTATCGGACAAAATCATAAGTCATATATCTCAGGAGCTAATAAAGGGGAAAACAATTCAAGTGCACCTGGAATTTCTGGGATAGGATAACCAGCCGTAAGCCTAAAACAAGCTGCCAGGCTTTGCCCCCAACAACCAACTCCCGAATCTCAACACGTAACTGGGGCCCCCCAAAGGGTATGATGGCCCTAAGGATGAGTCCCCAAGAAGCAGACACAAGTGGCTGGAACAAAACTTTACTGTCAGGCTCTGCAGGGCCACAGGGCCTCAGAAAGGTCCTCACTGGGCTGGCCCAGCCTCCTCTAAGGCATTCAATAATATTAGTAATTAAATAGCAACACCAATCCCCCAGTCGGAATGTACAACAGAGGTCCCATTGTGCCATGTGGTCCTAAGGGGTCTGGTCCCATGAGGTCTGGTCCCCAAGAGGCGCAAGGGTGGGGATGTTCCCTGATGCAGAGGGGTTAAGGCCACAAAGGAAAAGGAGGGGGAAGTGGGGCCTGGGGGCAGCTGGGCTGGTCCATTACATCCAGGAATCTGGCTCAGCCCTTGGGCTGACTGAATGCAAGGTGTGCCAGGCCCCAGGCACCGTGGGTCCAGATGGGCGGCGGGGGCCCCTAGGTGTGGGGATTCGTGAAGGTTTTTGGTCTGGCTGTGAGTCCATCCGGCCCCGTGCCCAGGTCCTCGGGGGCTCAGGGCCAGCCAGGTGGCTCCCAGATGCATCTGGAAGTCCCCCCACAGCAGGGCAGGGGCTACCTTCATCAGAAGAGCTAGACAGGGCTGGACCTCGGCACCCAGGCAGCCCATTGGCCATCCGGCCAGAGTCCCCCGGTTGGCCACACTTGCCACCCAGGATGCTGAGGGACGAAGAGGAGGAGCTGGTGGAACAGTAGGCTGAGTCGGGAGCTGGAGGGTCTGGGGCCCGAGCTAGGTCAGGGGCTGGTCCAGGGGGGGTCCCACCAACAACAGCCTCAAGAGCTCGGGCATTGGCCAAGAACTCCTCTTCCAGGCGCCTGAACAACTGCTGCTCGTGCTGCGGATCAAGCTGCAGGGGGGTGCGGAAGACACTGGCCGGTGTGGTGCCCAGCTCTGGACTGGGGCTAGGGACCCGGGGAGGCCGGGGCGCTGCAGGGCTGCAGGAACGGGGAGTGTGGGGGCTGCTCCTGCCAGAGCCCCCACTGCCCCTACCCCGTGGCACCCACAGGTGCTGCCCATCTCGGTCCCTGCGTACAAGCAGCACAGCATGCTCCTCGCGGCTCTGGCTCCGGGCCCTTCGGGCAGGACTAAGGGTTGACAGCTGGGCTCGCCTGCCTCCTGGGGCCTCCCGGGGCCGGCCCCGATCCAGCTGGTCTCGGGACTGGCTTCGAGGGGCAGGTGGCCGTCTAGGGGAGGCTGGGGTGCCTGTGGTCAGCCGCCGGCTGGGTCGTTCCCTCGGGGGGCCAGTGCTTGAGTCATCACTTCGGGCACCAAGTGGGCCGCTCTGGGCTGAGGAGGCTGAAGAGTCGCTGTCCCCAGAGTAGCGTCGAGAGCGGGGATGAGGGGGCAGTGGATCCCGGGCCCTGGGCATGGGAACAAAAAGAGATGGGGCATCAGGGAAAGAGGACCAGCGTGCAGAAAGGGGAGGGAGAGGAAGCAGCAGGTTTGTGGTTGGTGGGGGTGGGGAAGGCACCTTCGGTGCTGTGGGGGGTTTTGGTGGGAGTTGTCAAGGGCTTATGTCTGTCCTGGGGACTTCCAGGGAGAAGTGAGACTCTGCAGCAGCTTCCCACAGCCAGGGTCCCTACCCCCACAGCTACCCCAAGGCAGTGGAGGAAGCAAGGCCTCTGGGGCCCTGAGCTCCCCCTCCCGAGCCCTTCTGTTTCCTGGGCAGGCCAGAGGGAAGCAGGGTTGGACTGGCTGCCACCCAGCCCCAGGGCCCGCCCCAGCTGTGTTGTTAGTTTGGTTGGGTTGCCATGGAGATGGGAAGCTAGGCCTGCCCCCACCCACGGGAACTATTCCCAGGGTGTGAGTCACTCTGGAGCACAAGCTCCTCCAACCAGGCCAGGGCAGACGTCCCCGTCCCCACCCCCTAGACCCCTCGTCTCCAAGCCCTTTGCCTCTCACCTGAGTGAGGTCTCAGGCCCCTCCTTGGAACTTCGTAAGCTGGTGGGTGTCACCTCTGGCCGGGAGCCTCGCCGCTCACCCCCTGGGGTTGGGCTACCAGCTCGGGGGCTGGGGGTGGGTGACCCCCTCTGGGGGGAGAAGGTCTGGGCCCTCGGCTGGGGTGGGCGGTGCACTGCAGGGAGGAGACAGGTGGCATGTGAGTGGTGGAGCCACAGATAGGAGCCGCCTGCCCGCCTGCCCCTGCCTCGGGCACTGACCTGTAGAGGAGCAGCGGCAAGGGTCGTGCTTGTCTAGGTAGTGCTCCAGCGTGTCCCAGCCACCACCCACTCGAACCATCACATGGCTCCTCAGCACCTGTGGGAGGCCAGCAGGGCACAGTCCATCCTGTGGGCTGGCGGCCCACCCGATGGACTGCCGCCTCCGGGTAGCCCCCCAGTCTTACCCGTACAAAGATAAGCAGGCTGGAGTCTCCCACGCGGTACTTCCCCTCCGAGATCTTGATCATGGGAAATTGGTCTGGGCAGGTGCAACGGCCCAAGATCTCCCTCACCTGAGGCCAGAGAGGAATGGCTGGAGGTCAGGGGTTAAGTCCCTCCTCCTAGAGAATGATGTCAGCCACTCTAGGGTCAAGAGGAAGGAAGTCCTTCCGGGGAATGGGGGGCATGACTGTTGCCCCAGACTTGGTACAACCTCTACACTTGACCTTTCACCAGCTCTCCTTCCCCTTTAATGGGCAAGGAGAACGAGACGATAGGGTAGTGATCAGGTCAGGATCTGGGACTCCTACAAGGCATATTCCCAAAGCCTCTGAGCCTGGGGGCACCCTGGAGCTATGTTCACTCTCCCTTCACCCACTTCACAGACATGAAGACTGAGGCCCAGGGGGAGGCCAGGTCCCAGGAGAAGGCAGATCCTAGGGGCTCACAGCACAGTGAGGCAAGGGTGATGCAGACACACTAACATGCACACTCAGGCCACCTGCCTGTTGAGCATATATCTGCCCACATGTCCCTTCATGCCCGAGCTGCCAGGCTGGCTATGCGGCAGCCCCACCTACCGCTCCGCCCACCCACAGCAGAGCCGGAGGAAATGAGCAGGTGGAGCTTTGGGTGACCCTGGCCCAGGACAGGGGTGGGTGGGGTGGCAGCCTCTGCCCACGCCATCCGGCTACCCCCCTCCAGGACAGGCACATCATAGCCCTAACCTTTTGATAAGAAGGAAACTCTAGGCCTGGCTGCGGGGGTGTCAGGGACACGTAGGTCCCGGGAGAAGGAGGAGGGAGCTGGGGGCATGGTCCGGTACCTCCTGTGCTCAGAGTAGAGCTAATGCCATAGCTCCCAGCAGCCACAGCAGCCCTGGGCTTGGCTTCCCAGACAAATGATGTGCTTGGGGCCTTGGGAACTTCCCTGGGCACCACTGAGTACCTACTGTGTGCCAGGCACCTTGCTCAGGGCCAAGGGTTACAGAGACCCACTCAACCTCAAGCAACATGAATGAAACTGTCTAGTAGTTGAATAAGGGCACCCAGAGGGGATCAAATCATGTGGCCCTGGATGAAGACAGACACAGCCCTTAGCTGGTGCCTGCTTTGCACACAGGGAAGGGGGTCAGCCATGCTGCGGAGCTCACGTTTTGTCCCAAGCCAGCTGGGCCACAGGACCTCACCCAACACCTCTCCCCCTCTGCAGGCCTGCATATCTCCTCAGGAGCCAGGTACACACTTGGTGCTCAACACACTCACCCTTTCCACGGGGCAGGCTGTCCTGCAAAGAGGTTCAGGGACTAGCTGTGGGCACTAGCGCTGGTTCCTGGTAAAACGTGCAGGGTAAGAGCATAGCAGGGCCACTGAACTCACCAGTTCATCGAGGTTGCGGAGGTCCATGGGCGTCATGCGGGGCCCACGGGCGGGAACCCCTGGTGCAGCAGCAGTTCCGGGGGTGTACTCCTCAGCAGCGGGGGCGTCGGGGGCACTGGGGGCGGAGGGTACAGCACGCAGCTCCTGCTCAATCTCCTGTTCAAACTGCACAAGGCGAGGAGCAAGCAAGCCGAGGCGGGCCCCACGCCGAGCCACCTCCAGCAGGCAGAGCACCACGCTCTTCTCATTCTTTCGCAGCACCAGGTCCTCCGTCTCAAACATGAGCACTTCGGGCACTCCCAGCTCCGCTCGGCACCAGCCGATGAAGGTGGCCACGTTGTCTCGGGCCATGAAGGAGCCGGGCACCACGCTATGAGCCTGGAAAGCCACACCTCGAACTGGGCGGGCAGCAGCCAAAGCACGGGCAGCCTCGGTGACAGCGTTGGCATGATGGCACAGAGTGGTGCCGGTGGCCAGGCCCGTCAGGAAGCCATCGCCGCCACTGGGCAGCCCCAGTCCGTACAAGGCATTGAGCCACTCAGCCAGGTCCTCCTTCATGGCCTCCACATAGGCCTCACTTGAGCGGAACGGCCTCACGCTCTTGGCTGCCGAGCTTGCAATGCCTGCCACTGGGTCCGCCATGCCAAGGCCAGCCGCCGAGTGCCGAGTCACTGTGGGCAGGGACACAGATAGGATGGCTGTGAGGACCCAGCAGGCACTCGATACAGATTGAACCACTGACCACCTGTACCCACCTGTCATTTCAGGCTAAATGCCTGGGTGGACCCCTGGCTGTGAGAAATTTCTCTGTGCCTCAGTTTTCTCATCAGTGAAATGAGCACAATACTATTACCTTCCTCTTCAGACCTAAAGGGATAGTTTTTATAAATGATTTAGTGTCCATAAGCGTTTGCTGTTTGGCTACTTTGGGGGAACCTGGCTGAGTCCGCCTCGCTGCCCGCTGTGACAGGGTTGGAGCCCAGCCCTGAAGAGATGCAGCCCACCGCCCCAGACTCACAGTGGAGGCGAGCAGCCAGGTCCTAACTCAGGCAGGGGTTGGCACCATTGCTC